TCGGATATGGAGTATTGAACTGTAGCTTCACCCAGGCAGTAAACTTAGAAAGCTCTCTGGGAATGCAGGAGAACTTACCTTTACTTCATCATGAACACAAATGATTTTTTCTTTGGCTTCAGCTTTCCCACCTCTCTGATGAGGGATTGGACCACGTGATCACCAAATAGCCTCATCTCTAATTCCTCATTTCTTTAAGGGTCTGGTTTCAACAGGAAATAGAAGTGGGGGGGGGGGGAGTGGGGAAAACTGCCCATAGCTGTGTTGAGCTCTTCTTCTCTTATCCTGCCCTTGATAGCTCCGCGCACACCTTCCAACTTCTGAGCATTGCTCCTGTCCTCAGAAAGCCTTGGACGGCACAAGTGAGAGCTGTTAGTGTTGGCCCGAAGTCCTTCCTGGTGACTAGCCAACATTGTTCTGCTCCTTGCAGGGGTCCCACCAATCTTGTTTGCCTCTGCAGAGCCGCAGCCTGTCACCTGGAAGATGCCGAGGTCCTGCGGCAGTCGCTCAGGGGTCCTGCTGCTGGCCTTGCTGCTTCAGACCTCCGTGGAAGTGTTGGGCTGGTGCCTGGACAGCAGGCACTGTCAGGACCTCACCACAGAAAGCAACCTGCTGGTATGTGGCCCACGGGATACCTCCTTGGTTTGGGTAGAAGACGGCCCTGGGCTTAGGACAGCTCCAGAGGAAGAGCAGTGTGGGGATGGGGAAAGTCATCTCCGTTGATTGGAGTGACCCAGAGCAGTTACAGAACTTTTCCCATAAGGTTGGAATTAGGCAAAGGTGAGGGAGGAGGTGGCTTCAGAGAAAAAGGGGTCTGGTCCATGATTTGTGCTCTATTATCCTCACTCTGTTTTCTGTGAAAACCCCTTACCATATACTCAATTTAGTGTCACATTAACCATGATTGCTCCCTTAATTGATCCTGTATCTCCAACCATTTACTTCCCAAATTAGCCCCCTTTAGGAAGTGAAAACTTACAATTTCACTTCACATGTCTTTATTTTCTTCCAGTTACAAGGCCATTACCAGTTAGGCATTTCCATACAACATCTCCAGAAGGAGCAGGAAAGACCGAAGTACTGTGTGTGTGTGTGTGTGTGTGTGTGTGTGTGTGTGTGTGTGTATGTAACTGGTGCCAAATATCTCATGCTGCTTCTAGAAGGCAGGCTTCCTGCCAAGTTCCTTTCTGGTTTTCCAGAAGCATGTACAAGCCCTCTGGGACAGGCTGGAGCTCCTTCCAGGTCAGCACATGTGTGCACATAAATGCCGGGTGCCTGCGGGTGTCTGTTCTGCTATCGACAGACAGCTGAGGCTAGATGATGGGAGAGACCTCCTCAAGACATAAGAGCAAGGTTCATACACAGTGTAGACTCAGAGGACCCAAGGAACCTTTGGGAGAATCCAGTTCGGAAAAACCTAAGACTGTTGATTTTTGAGACACATTGCATAGCCTCTCCTGAGGAGATCTCATCAGAAAGGTGTGTGTGTGTGTGCGCGCTAAATAAGGTCAGAGTCATAGGTTCTGTCCCCACCTCTGACACCAATGAGCAGGGGCACCTTGATCAGATATTTTTCTCTTTCTGAGCACTCCCACCCCATTTCATTATATGTCCTGGGGGAAAGGTACTTAAATTACATTGTTTTTATCATCCACTGTTAACATTCTGCAGTATTATAATTCTGAATCTCTGGTGTAGAAAACCCTCAACTGAAAAGAGTGGGTGAGAGCCTTCTGTCTTCTCCTCGGCAACTCCCAGGGATCTAAAAAAAAACTTAAGGATGCAGGCTATGGGTAAATAAAGCCCCCTAGTCGAATCCTCTAGGGCTAGAGTGCAGGGGCACAAGTATAGCATTCGCGGTGGAAATACACCCCCAACCCCACCCCGGCCTTCCAGCCTTCCTTCAAGTTAGAATAAGGAGGCAGAGAAATGGACCAACTTGTCTCAAAATTCTGATGGAGACGATACGAGATCAACACACAGAGTAAAGGAATTAGTGGACGCCGGGAAGTTTTGAGACAAGGGGGCAAGGGTTCAGGGCCGGAGTAGGCATGAAACTGTAGATGACTGGGGTAAGATTGAGGCATTGTTGAAAATTTGGGCCCCAGAAGTCAGACCTCTATAACTAGGAAAGATTCTCTCTGAAACTCCAGTCCCATGCCCCGTCTGTACTTAAATAGAGCCACACTTTGCCATCATTAAATGACAACACCCCCTTTTGGTGCACGTAATAGCAAGGTCCTGATAGTAAGAGCTAAAGAAGACAAGTAGGCAAGGAATGGGTATGGGCTGCTTGCAGCCGTCTGGGCAGAATCATGCAAGGGCAAGAAGAGCTCTGTGCAAGATGTCGGCGGGACCTGGGAGACCGGGTGCCCACGTGCAGGTGTCCACGTGCTGGGTGCGACGGCCTCCAGGCTCCAAGCGGCTCTGCGACCTGGGCAGGGGACGGTGGCCCGCAGGCCCTGGCCTGGCTCACGTGTGGGTGGGGCTCTCTCCTCTCTCTCTCTCTCCAACAGGCTTGCATCCGAGCCTGCAAACCGGACCTCTCGGCGGAGACGCCCGTGTTCCCAGGCAACGGGGACGAGCAGCCGCTGACCGAGAACCCCCGGAAGTACGTCATGGGCCACTTCCGCTGGGATCGCTTCGGCCCCAGGAACGGCAGCGGCGCGGCGCAGAGGCGCGCGGAGGAGGAGGAGGAGGAGGATGCTGCGGCGGCGGCGGCGGCGGGGGAAGCCGGTCGCTCGGAGCCCGGCCTGCGCGAGGGCAAGCGCTCCTACTCCATGGAGCACTTCCGCTGGGGCAAGCCGGTGGGCAAGAAGCGACGGCCAGTGAAGGTGTACCCCAACGTCGCCGAGAACGAGTCGGCGGAGGCCTTTCCCCTGGAGTTCCGGAGGGCGCTGGCGGGCGAGCGGCCCGACGGCTTGGAGCACGTCCTGCAGCCCGACGCCGACGGCGCGGCCGACGGGCCCTATCGGATGGAGCGCTTCCGCTGGGGCAGCCCGCCCAAGGACAAGCGCTACGGCGGCTTCATGACCTCCGAGAAGAGCCAGACGCCCCTGGTGACCCTCTTTAAGAACGCCATCGTCAAGAACGCTCACAAGAAGGGCCAGTGAGGGCCGCAGGGGCGGGGGGGTCTCCTCACCCCACGCCTCCATCCCTGCATGGGCGAGCTGCTCGCCGCCGCAGACCTCAAGCCTCCTAGAGCTGCCTGTAGTTAGAGGAAATAAAACCTTTCAGATTTCACAGGTGGCTCTGGCCTTCAATGCAGACCGCGTGAATAAAGTCAAAACACACACACACACAGCCATCCAATTACACCACCATGTGACCAGGTGGTAGCGTTAAGAAAGCATATCTCTCTACCCATTTGCCCCAGCAAACGACTCCGGGGTAGGGTGGGGGTGCAAATAGTTTGGATGGCTCAGGGTTGGTTCTCTAGCCAACATTCCTAGGATGTGCTTAGCTGTGAACCTGACCCCAAAGCATGATTCCTACAAGAGTGATGACCTTAGGGGCTCGAAGCCGGGTGGCACCACCAAGGCCTACTCCCCATTGGAAAGGGCTTTGGGCTGTCACACACACAGGAAGCTCCGGACATTCCTTGCTGTGTTGAGTCCTGATCTGTGACCTCAGGCAGGTCCCTGCACCCTCCCAGGATTTAGTTATCTCACCTGCCCCTTCCTTCTTGACCTAAGGGCAAGGATAAGAGAAAAGAGACGTCATTATTTGATCAGGAAGATGTAAGGGTTGACAGCGGTTTCAATTTGGTTATTCACATATACTCAAGGCACATGATCTTACTCTCTTCCGTACACACCACGGAGATAGATGCACCGTCTCTCCAGGCTCAAGTCTTGAGGGCTCTGGTTTCCTACTTTGCTGTGTCTCCCCAGCTCTCCCTGTTGTCCAACTTCAGACCTTCACTCTGAAGTTCTCCCTGAAGACCTCCACTACCCGAGTGCATTAACCAGCCGGCCTCCAGTTGCTTCCTATGCCGATGATCCGCATTAATACAGATATTTAAAAAGAGCTTGTTGGTCTCATAGTCCCTGGCCCACCAACCAAAACAGCGCCCCCTACATCCCAATTTCCCTCCCATCAGGTGCAAACTTTTGGGGCAAAGTATGTAGAGCCCATGTTAGCCGTGTTCACTCTCCTACCAAGCTTTTCAGCTCGTGTTTCCTGGGAGGAAGGTCCTGTTTCATGTCTGTTGGTCTCATTGCCGCCCTTCAGTTCTTCACGGCCTGGACCCCATCCCCAACGCCACCTTTGCCCACCTTACATCATCTTGCCTCTTTCAATGCAAGCCTAGGCTCGAGACCACCTCTTCTAGGCCAGTCATACTCTCATCCAGTGTCTCTGCTCATTTTCAGGGCTCCGGTAGTCAGCCCCCTCTGTGCTGGAGGGCATGCTGTCTGTTCAGGATGGCAAGCTACTTGCTGTGTGTCTGTTTTGTCCCCTCCTCTTAGAGAAACTCCAAGCTCGGCTGGCTGGCATTATATTTTCTGTCTCCTTGTGGGGTCAGAATGCTGGGGTCAGAGTTTTGCAGCCCCATGTCTACAATCTCAGGGGATGAACACAAACCTGTCATTTAGATTAGATGTCCATGGGCCACACACATCAAAGTCTGGTGTATTTGTTCATAACCCCTTATATTTGATAGATGTTCACAAAAACATGATGAGCCCTGGGAGTCCTGGTGTGAGGTGAGTCAGAAACCCCGACAAAGCTCTCCCTAATGTAGGTCATGGGAAATGAGCTACAACGAAGAACAGCCTGGCCCCTCCTGAGGATGCTCCCTCGCTGGGGATCCTCACTTAGTTCCATCTCTAACATCTTTCCCCGCCCCCTCAATTTCATTAGAACCAGGTAAAGCAAGGGTCGGTGGGGGTGGTTAAATGCCACTGGCACACTGTTGATATTTTCAGATTCCGATTTTATCTAAGACAAAAACAAAAAAACCCCAGCCATTTCCTTTTAAGAATTCAAAGAGACAGCCATATGGTGACAACATTAACATTTATTTGAAAAGGGCATTGTGAAGTCTCATTGGGAAACCACGACTAATAGTCCTAAAAGAATGACTTTGGAATAGTCCTTCCAACACCCCCTGCCTCCCCGGAAGGAAAACTAATTTGATTCAACAAGTTTAAAATACAGAGAACTGCCACAGGTGCCGATTCTGTACTCACATATAAATAAGTCGGCTAGTATATACACAACGTTGGCAACTACTAACTACATTAAACACATGCATGGACATAGGCACATACACACTCAGCCAGGTCATGAAGGTCTAAAAGAACTCAGACACATTGAGGTGGATGGGCTGCAGCATCTATGGGTGTTCAGTGCATGCCTTTAATCCTAGCAGATCTCAGAGATCTCAAGGCCAGCCTGGTCTATAGAGTGAGTTCCAGGACAGCCAGGGCTGTTACCCAGAGAAACCCTGTCTCAAACCCCCCCACACACCACCACCACCAAAAAAGGGGCAAGTGCTGGGCTCAGGAGACCCTATGCTTCCTGAAGGAGCCAGGCTGGTGCCAGGGGGCAGCCAACGGGGCCATGAAGTTCTTCCCTCTAGCCCAAGGCTTCTCCTTATCACTCCCCCAGGTATCCAGGATCAAGACCTCCCATGATTCCTCTTCTGTAGTCTTTAGATGTAGACCCAGCTTGGGTTATGGAGCCATAGAAACCATATTAAAGAGATAGAGGCAACAATTTTCCTTGAACCTTTTCCCCAGATTCCAGAGGCCAGGACCCCTGCTGCCAGAGAAGGTCAAGGGAAGCAGACGCAGCCTGCCTAATACGACTCTCTCCCACCTTCCAGCCTGCTTTCAAACAACATTCAGACCCACAGCTCAAGACTTCCCTTTCCCCCAGGCCCCCAAACACAGCCAGCCACTCATGCTCAGCAGCATCTCTGCAGCAGGTTGGGAGGCCTACGACAACAGGTCACTGGAAGGCACCATGACCCAGGGATCCCCCCAACCCAAAGATATCCGGAGGAACCTTAGGGCTTTTCCAAATCCCACTCCAGCTGAACTGTGTCCTGTGGGCCCGGGAACAGCCCGTGCACAGGTAGCATACAGGACAGGGCTGCTCTGACCAGGGTCCTTGGCCCAGGCCTATGTTCCCCTGCACTGTGTAGGTCGGGGCCCGGTCACAGGACATTTTTAGGTTTTCTTATGTGGTCATTGAGGAGTCATGAAACCATTTATTTCTAGTCTTCGAAGTTAAGAGGAAACAGGCTCAGCGCAGGGGAAAGAGCAGCTGCTTCTGGGTCACAGGTATTTTCTGTCAATCCACTTCTTACACTTGCTTATGATTGACCAAACTAACTTCTGAACCTCACACTCGTGCCCATTAGAGTCTGTCATCAGGAGGCCACCCTCTGGCCCTGGCCTATGAGGCCAGAGCCCTGGGTGGTGGTGGTGGTGGTGGGCTGGGGGCCAGTTGGCCTTAAAGAGTTGGCTGGCTCCTTTTGGCTCTGGCTTACAGCAGAGAGGGTGTACAGAACAGAGCAGGAGACAGCGCTATCAGACACCAGAGGCAGGGAAGGCGAGAGTCCCACCGGGTTCCTCCCCAGCTCCCACCCACTCTGCTTTTGCCTCTCTTCCCCAGCCTTGTTTGGAGTGACAGACCCCTGTGATCACCATCTAGACTTCCTGACTCCGAGGCATACTCGGCCAGGATCGGATTCCGTTCCCTGTCAACAGGCACCCCAATATCTTACTGAATATCAACTTAAATCTACCCAGAAGAGGGCACACCAATGGCCAGCTCTCTAGAAGCAGCATGTCCCCACTAAGCAGCCTGGGTGTGGAGAAAAAGAGGACATACAGAGGGACTGAGGAGGAGCAGATGAGTCCGCAGAATTGGAACTCGGTCCCCTTTCTCCTGTTGCTGGGCAGGGCTGAGGGACAGAAGTATCTGAGTGGGGCCTGTGTAGGCCCCTCATGCTCTAGGAAGTCTCCAAGGAAGTGGCTCTCACAAACCACAATCAGGGTCAAGATACCTCAGGGGTGGACACTGATGTCACTCGGGAACAAGAAAAAACTGGTGAACTCTTATCCAAGCCAGGCCTGGTATAAAGGATGTGGCAGGCAGGTGAAGGAAGGTGTTTTTAGCTCAAACCTTAGATTTTTCTTAGTTTCTAAAGGGTTACTTGCTTTCGTGCTTTTTTTTTAAAATTTGACTTCTTACTAAAGAGGTATTAAGGAAAAAACCTAAGTCCATGCTTATAAAGTTGGATTGAGCAACAGCCACATGGCTCCAAAGTCACGGGCGGCCTCGTCCTCAGGGACCTGAGATCATGCAGGCCATGCAGGAGCCATGAGCCCCAGCTCAGTGCAGAGAGCACGGGGAGAGTTGCATTAGAAGTGAAGAAACTATGGGGACAGGGTCAGACGGGCCCCATCTGTGACATTTAGCACGTGTGCCATGGGGAGGTCCATGTGTTCCAGTTCTCCTAATTCTGGAAAATGTTCCCACCTGTCCTAGTGAGCGGGCTGTCATCATGCGGGGTCATAGGCAGGGCTGTGGTCTAGAGCGTCCCGAGAAGCCCACACCCTCCTCAGCAGAAATGGCTCCTTTATGACCCCACGTCACACTGCCTAAAATTACACCCTGGAAAGGACTCCCGCAGGTCACCAGATCTACTTCCTTCTTCCTAAGAAGCAAAATCTCGAGAGGCAGTTCGAGAGGAAAACAGCTCAGAGAAACTTATGGGAAGTTTAAAAGGGAAAGAAAGGACTGTCCTGGACCATAGGGGGCTCCCACTGGAGGAGGCCTGGGGTGCTGCCAGAGGCCTCCTGGGGGTGCTGCCAGAGGCCTCCTGGGAGGCACAAAGGCACCCAGAGGGGCATCAGGAAAGGGTCGAGTGGTCCTTTCTGCACCCACCCAGTCCTGGGTTAGCGGCTCCCGGCACACGAGTCACATAGGCACAGGTAGGTGGCACAGAGGGAAAACGGAGCCAAAGGGATTTCCACCACCTCGACCCAGGCCACAGCAAGGCCGATTAATTGTCCCCAATGTCTCAGACTTTGCCCAGAGAGGGAAAATATCATTTCAATCCTAGCTGTTACATCTCTTTCCTTGAACCCCAAAGTGACATTTGCTCAATTGCTCCCTCCTTTGTCCCCAACCCCCCCCCCCCAACCTCCCAACAAACAAACACACAAACACACACAGCTCTTCTGGGAGCATCTTCCAGGAAGCGATGTAAACCGGCCTCAGGGCCCCAGCATCCCCCCCGCCCCCCTGCTTTCCAGTCCCCTAGAACCAGCTAGCTTTCTCAGCTTTCTCTCAACCCAGAGGGTGTGGAAACACTGTGGGATATCTGGAAGATCGACATCTGGGACCAAACTTAACTACCCGGGAAACCTCCCGAAGAGAGAGAACGGGAGAAGATCCGCCACAGGCTTCCTCCGGATAGAGGAGCTGAGAAGACACAACACCGCGGAGGCACAGACTGGTCACACTGTGCCTTGCCGATGCTGCCACCCAGCCTAGGAGAAGCCGTCCCCCTCCGTCCCCAGCCTGTTGCTCTGCCGCCAGCATCTCTACCCCAGCATCTCTACCCCAGCATCTCTACCCCAGCATCTCTACCCCAGCTCCTGCTCTAAGTGCTCAGCGTTCATTGATAGTAGAAAAAGAGACACAGATAACTGGAGATTAAAGAAGAGGCCGGGCAGGACACCCGAGACTAAGAGGTGAGAGCAGACATCTTTCACACTGTCACTTCCTGATGAGGGTGGGGAGGGGGCTTTCCTCAGCTTCCCCGAGTACCATCTATGGCTTCCTTAGACCAATCACGTCTTCATCAGGCTCTTTCCCTTGGGGGTGGCTGACCCTCCCTCATAGACGCATTCCCAATGGAAGCTTCCCAGGCCCCTCTGCTTCTCAGTGGAGGCACCCTCATGATTCTCTGTCCCTGGCTGATACAAAAGGGAAGACAGGTGAGATGCGCATTAGCCCCAGGGGGCAGGTGGCTGGATATTCCTTATGGAAGACCAGGAGGAGGCAGGAGGGCCCGTGGAGGACCGGAGGCTCCGTCTTTGCTCAACTTGGGAAGAGCCACTGTCCAAGGTGACTATTTCTCAGCTCTCCCAGCTAGATTTCCAGATGGTGAGAGTGGGCAGGAGGGCGGTCCTCCCACAGGGTCCTCTAAGGAGTTCTGTCTCCTGGAATTCAGTACACACACAGATCGGGAAACTTCATCTCATAGACGGGGATGGAATGGTTCTGTGGCTGACCATAGGCTGCAGTGATGGTCCCTGAAGGGCTTGGAGGGGGCCTAGGGACACATGGAAGAGAAAGATATGTATGAAACAGGAATTGGGGTCCTATCCTTGTGCAACTAAACCCAGCAGCCGGTTTCAGTCTGTCTGTCTGTCTGTCTCTCTCTCTGTTTTTCGAGACAGGGTTTCTCTGTGTAGCTTTGGTGCCTTTCCTGGATCTCGCTCTGTAGACCAGGCTGGCCTCAAATTCACAGAGATCCGCCTGGCTCTGCCTCCTAAGTGCTGGGATTAAAGGCACGCGCCACCGCTGCCTGGCTTTAGTTTCTCTTTAAAACTCATGCCATTCCATGAGTTCCAGATTTTCAAGATATTCTAGAATCTTCAGTCCAGTCAAGACTATGGCAGTGGTTCTCAACCTTTCCAAAGCTGCAGCCCTTTAATACAGCTCCTCATGCTGTGGTGACTCCAACCATAAAATTATTTGGTTACTACTTCATAACTGTAATTTTGCTACTGTTATGAACTGTGAAGTAAATATCTGGTATGCATGATATCTGATATGTGACCCCCACACACACAAGGGGGCTGTGACCCACAGCTTGAGAACCACTGCTCTATGGTGACACAGGTACTTTAGAAATCAAGTACTTGCCCGGGACACTAAGACTCCTGGCCTTCTCTAAGCCTTACTGAGTCAATCTCTTGCCCTCTTCATGGTGGCTGGGAATAGAGGTTGGGGGTGGAGGGAGGGCTATAAGCAGGCGTGAAAAGGGGTCTTAGGGTACCGACCCTCACCCCTGACGCTGGACACAGAGGTAGGGTCTCCCGCCCGTGCTGCCACTTACCGGATGGTGATTTCAAAGATCTGGTTGAGCTTGCTCTGCAGCAGCGATGCCTAGACACAGACAGAAGGGAAGTGAGCTTCAGGCTCCAAGAGGGTCAGCTGCCACCTCCCTGCCACCTCTCAGGACACCTGGAAGCTTCTGACTGTAGCAGCCGTGGGAGGGTAACCAGGTAGGTGTGTTCTTATCCCTGGTACCTGTCTGTTGGACTTGAACATTCAGATCAGGGACAACCACCCATCAAAGGCTGGCTGGGGACTGAAAGAGGGCCAGGAATACCAGGGAGCGTTTGGGCAGGCTTCTGCTCCTTGATACGGGGCAGCAGAGTCTGTTGGGCATGGGGTCAGGAGACCGGAGCTGACGACGTTACTCTTTCTTGATGTGTGCCCAGCACTTGGGCCTTCTCCAAGATCATAAAATGGGCAGTCCACCTCTCAAAGTGGGATGGGAATAACTTAGGACAAGGAGCACAGGCTTGGAAGATACGTGTTCTTATACAACTACAAAATATGTAGATCTTATATAGATAAAGTATAAGCCACATGCCTGTAATCTCAGCACTCAGAAGGCTGAGGCAGGATGACTGAATGTTGTAACGTGAGCCTAGGCTACATAGGGAGTTCAAGGCCAGCCCAAGATGGTACAGCAAGACCCTCGTTTAAAAGAACCTGGCTGGTGAGAGGGCTCCATGGGTAAAGTGCATGATGCAAAAGCCTGATGGCCAGAATTCAACCCCTGGAGCCCACATAACGGTGGAAGGAGGACCCAAAGTCCTTTGACCTACGTATACATACACATCCACACACAGGGTAACGATAATATTAAAAAAAATTGTTTTGTTGACAGGGTACCACTCTGTCTGGCCTGGGATTATCTATGAAGACCAGTCTGTCCTTGAACTCAGATTTACTGCCTCTACCTTCTGAGTGATGGTTTAAAGGTACGAGCCCCCCCCCCCAAGCTGGCACCCACCTCCCTTACCCCCACCCACTCCCTGCCTGTCTTTTTTTGAGGTCTCACTATGTAGCTCTGGCTGGCCTAGGATTATGTATATAGACCAAGCTGGCCTCGACTTCCCAGAGATTTGCCTGCCTCTGCCTCCTAAGCGCTGGGGTTAAAGGTCCAAGACTGTGAGTGCTACAGAGCAGTCCCTGGGCGCCGGGGAAGCAATGTAGCAGAGAGCATTGGGGTAAACAGCAGTGTACAGTATACTGGAACCAAAACCCTAATTTCTGCAGGACAAAGAGACAAGGTCTGAACCCAGCCCTGCCCTGGACCCCCAGGTCTGGTTTCCGATTGGTCAGGAAAGCACCCTATGGTATGCTACTCACCCGGGCCCCACAGTGGGCTGCAATCTCCTCGAAGGGCGCCTTCTGGAATTTCTCCACCACCTGTCGCCGCCGCTCACGCTCCTGTTCCTCAACTGCCACACTGTCCACTGTGACACAGAGAACTGAGTTAGTGTTCAGGGATGAGTTAGGGGAAGGAGCTTGAGGGAGATGGACAGGGTGGACTCTTCAGACGAAAAGGGGGCGGAGCACGGAAAGGGGGCGGAGACATGGAAAAGGGGCGGAGACCTCACGTGTCGGCATAGACCCAGATTCTGCTCGAAGCCCCGCCCTCTTGAGAATCAGTTCAAAGGACCTGCACCTGGGCTTTAAAGACCCACGTGGCTGCACTCCTGCTGGAGCTCTCAAATAAGACCTCAGATACTTGTCCCTTTTAGTACTGGCGGGGTAGTTTGAAAAAGGACCTGAACATTGAAAAGGCAGCTAGACGGTGAGAATCAACGTAGTCCCACAGCACAAGTCTGAGGAAATTTCACTTAAGGCTTTCCATACACCATTTGCTATCCAAAGTGAGGTAGCACCAAATAAAGAAAAATAGGGAGTGGGTTTAGAGGTCAAATAATGATCACTCTGAGAGGATTAGGGAGGCAGGCGGTGCGTACATTTATTTTTTTATTTTTATTTTTTATCTTTTCGAGACAAGCTCGCACTAGATAGTCCCGGCTATTCTGGAGCTTACTACGTAGTCAGGCTGGCTTCGAACTCACAGAGATCTGATTGCTTCTGCCTCCCAAGTGCTGGGATTAAAGGCACGTGTCACCACACCTACCTGAGTGCATCTATAATAACAAAATACTGAAGAGTCTTCACAGAAAGCCCATTTAGCGGCTTAATTTGTCATCAGTTAGAAACAACCTCTTAATAGGAACACCTCACCGGCCAATCATGCAGATAAAGAGGTGACTCGTGTTTAAAGTCTATCACCCTTATTAAACGAACACCAATATGATTTCTTCTCAATGCCTCTCCCTGGACATCTTGCCTTTTTAAATTTTTTTTTTATATTTTTTTTAAATTTTATCTCATTTTATTTTACAATACAATTCAGTTCCACATATCAGCCACGGATTCCTTTGTTCTCCCCCCTCCCGCCCCCCTCTCCTTCCCCCGACATCTTGCCTTTTTGTGTCACCTTCACACACAAGGAGTTTTATTCGCACAGACCAGTCCCCTGGCTATAACCCTCGAGTGGTGGCTTTCAGAGGCAGTTGGCATTAGTAAGTAGGAAAGGGATTGCAGTGACAGGCTGTACCGACCCCCTCATCAGGGAGTGGGGACTTGTACCTACAGCTTTGGTGGCTGATGAGTTTACAAGAAACCCCCAGCCTCTGCCACCTGGTCCACGTCAGCCCCAGCCTCCCTGCCCCCCCCCCCCATCAGAGTTTCCTGGGGCCGTTGTCTTACCAATGGCCTTCTTCAGTGTCTCATAGGTGATCTCCTCGGCAGGCACTCGCTGAAGGAGAAGAGACAGACGTGTTCAGAAAGGTGTGGGAGAGAAGGCAACCCCTTTGCTTCTTCCCCATTCCCAGAGGTATCTCTGAGCATGTATGGAGAAAAGCAAAGGAGGCCAATTCCTCATGAGGGTCCCTCAGAATAGAATTCTATTCTTTTCCCTACCTAAGCCGGTCCTGTCAAGCTCCGTGGGAGGAAATCATCACGCGATTTAAAAAGAAATCCTCAGAGAAACAACTGGATGTAAGAGGTAGTTGAGAAATACAATCTCCAATATGAACTCCAAGAACTTCACAACATTTTGAGGGTTCATGATATTAAATTATACCCTAAAGTGATGAATCTTAATACAGAAAGTCATAAGAGGTTAGAAATAATGGGACCTTTGCTAATGAGATTGGTCCTAAGACCGGAGGCAAAGGATCTCAACCTCTGCAGAAGCTATGAAAGGAGGCAGGAAATAATAAAACCCAAAGAAGGGAATTCCGTGGATGCAAGGCCTCAGGGACGATGCTGAGAATAATGAAGTTTGGACCAGATTCCATGAACTTCGAACCAGACTATAAGCTTCTTGGTGTTAACACCCATGCTGAATCATGTGCCATTACAAGAAGTAAGGGAAAGATGTAGACAGGAGAGAAAGATTTAATGATATAAAGTTCCAAAAGGGACACAGCTATGCTAAGTAGTTCCTTTGAGGGAGACGAGCTCAGACAGGCCCCCGGTGATGATTGTGTTTGATCTCCTGATCTGAGGGTGAGGACATGGGTGCATTCACCTTGTGAATTCACAGACAGGACAGTGCTGGGCTTGTTTGCCATTTAGTAAATGTCTGTTTGACTGGAAAGGACAGATATGGGATAAAGACACTCAGCAAATATTGCATGGACATCAATAGCATGCAGAACTCTCAGTGGGTCAAGAGAAGCTGCCAATTTGTTAATAGAAGAATTACATGCAAGAGAGCCTGAGGATTTCATCCTATGTACACCATCTATCATCCATCCATCATCCGTCCATTCATCATCCATCATCCATCCATCATCCATCATCCATCCATCCATCCATCCACCATCCATCATCCATCCATCATCCATCATCCATCTATCATCCATCATCCATCCATCATCCATCCATTCATCATCCATCCATCCATCCACCATCTATCATCCATCCATCATCCATCCATTCATCATCCATTCATCATCCATCCACCATCCATCCATCCACCATCCATCCATCCACCATCCATCATCCATCCATCATCCATCTATCCATCCATCCACCATCCATTCATCCATCATCCATCCATCCATCATCCATCCATCCACCATCCATCCATCCACCATCCATCCATCATCCATCTATCCATCCATCCACCATCCATTCATCCATCATCCATCCATCATCCATCCATTCATCATCCATCCATCCATCCACCATCCATCCATCCACCATCCATCATCCATCCATCATCCATCTATCCATCCATCCACCATCCATCCATCCATCCACCATCCATCCATCATCCATCTATCCATCCATCCACCATCCATTCATCCATCATCCATCCATCCATCCATCCATCCATCCATCATCCATCCATCCATCCATCCATCCATCCACTCATCATCTATCCATCCATGTCAGTGAAGACCAATGTAGATGAACTACAGGCATTAAGGAACCTCAGGGTAAAGGAAAGTAAAAGCAAGTTCTCCAAATGAGAGCAGGTAGAGAGATGTGCATGGAGGAAATGGGACCTGGCTGGGCTTCAAGGAACAAGCACTCCATAGGTCCAAAGGTCTAAGCACCTACACGTAGAAGAAGGCAGATTCTGGGAGGGTTTTTGCACCAGTATACTTGTGCAGATAGATGACTGAGTGTGGCACAGAGAAATGGAGCAGTGCCACCGTGCCACACGAGGTGGTAAAGGAAATAAAATGAACCTGGCAGGGCACAGGGGCACAGGGATGAAGGTTTGACCACATTAGCATTGATTCATCACTCAGAACACAGTCACCCGGCACAGGATCCTGAACCAGGACACCATGGGCTGAAACGGTGTCGCAGTGTAGCATGGGGAGGGCATAGCCCTGCATCAGTTACCAGGACACCCCTGGGCTAAGCTGACTCAAGGAAAGAACCAATGTGAGTGTCCCAGGAGGCCACCAGTGAGTAGGGGGCACTAGCTTGGTAAGCATTTCTTCTCCTTAGCTTCACTTAACTACTGAAGGCCTCAGAACTTAGGATAGGAGACATCCCCTCTGCAGTGTGGGGAAGCAGTCAGCTAACTCCAAGGCTATGACACTAGGGGTTCTCTCTTTCATGACTGGAAGGGTCTCTGAGGGCCCCCACTTCCATGTCCTCACTTTGCTTGCCTAATTAGCCAGGGTCAGAGCTTCCTGCCTTCCACAGGAATGTTCCAGACCAGCTCTGGAGGTCCAGGTTTAAAGCTTGGCCCTGGTTACAGAGATCCTTAATCCCAGCCTGTAAGGGCTTGTCTATACTCTGATCACACTTTGGGAAAGATCCAGTGTCCTCACAGCTGCCCTCAGACGCCCCCTGAGTCTTCTTGTCCCAGTCCCTCTCAGACGTGGCTCCTCTTTATTTTGTGTGAGGCTTGCCCCATGCCTGTTATTTCCCTAATTTGTATGAGGAGGAAACAGAGCAAGCCTTTCTAGAGTGATTTTTTTTTTTAATGATAGTCTCATGGAAGAAGAAGCACATTACTCTCTTAGCTGGAAATAACACTAATGCACACATGAGCAGAGTCAGTAAGAAAATGGATGTACCGGAGAAACTAATTCCCATGGACAATTTGATGCACTGTAAAGAGCTTTGGAGCACTTAACATCCAGAGTAGTGACAAAACACTCACTTCCTCTTTCTCTGGGCTGTTCCTCGATTCCACCTCTACCTGAAGGGAAATGGTCTCTCCAATGCTCTTCCTCTTGGACAAGCGATCTTCATCTGGAAAAGAAGAGCCCAGAAGCTGGGATTCCCGGTCCTTGCTAAGCCACTGGTCCCACCCTCCTCTGTGCCTTGGTCCACAGTCCTCAATGGCTCAGTACATACGTAGGTTACACTTGGAGCTTCCAGAAGCTTCTATCTGCGGTGGGCTTTCTCCACCCATCTTAGGGCGGTCAGGTTGCCTCTTTGGATTAAGATTTTTGCAACCATGTGTGGAAACAAAGAAGCTGCTTAGGACCAGAAAGCATATCTCAACTAGCACAAGATGGTTGCATTCACTATCAGTACCAGTAATGGTCATGTGTGCAGTGTTCCCTAAGAGCATTTGACTTCATTACACCACACACCTCCACATAATTCCGGGAATATGTGGGATTAGGGAATAACTTCTCTAATCCGGGAATTTTGTAGTCAAGTAACTTGGGGATTTTCAGAGACTTGCCCAAGGCGTTTTTAGAAAAGTAAGTAGGACAGACATCTTGAAATGGGTCCCTGGTTCTGTAGTCCATGCATGCTCTTTCCAATACTATGGACCAGCCCTCCACAAGCCAGGTTATCTCATGGCCCAGTTGCTTTCTGAGATTCCAAACCGAGGAAGAAGAGCATTGAAATAGGGATCGCATCATAAATTCTGCTTTCAGCTCTTATATAACTTCTAAGACGCCGCCACAAGTGATTCAGGTGTCCACACCCCCTTACTCTAGGGCTCTTACATGGTAGGGAAGGCAGAGGTAAGTTGGAAGCTTTGCCTAGAGCTCATACCTGTCAGCTGAGGGATGTAGGGCAGGCAGAGCCTGTCCGAATTGTAGCCGCTTCCTCCCAGGACTTCACTGATTTTACTCTGACGGAAGAGAAACTCGATCACCACGCCGTCTAGATTTTGAGACAGCCTGAAGAACAAAGAGGCAGAGCAGAACCGTGGGTAGCTATAACAATTCCTGGATGACTTTATCACAATAGCAATATCGTCACTGTGCAAAATGACAGAGAAATAGAAGAAAATCCCCCTAGTCCCTTTTCCAAGGGCACCCACTAGTCTACATTTTATGCAGAACCCTTTGGTTGCATACATTTGTGCCCACAGATAAATGCTCCCTTCCCTAACACACTGTTCTGTGACTAATTTGTGTGTGTGTGTGTGTGTGTGTGTGTGTGTGTGTGTGCACGCGCGCGCGCGCGCACAGGTGTACATGCATATGTGTGCATGCAGATATGTGGGGACCAGAGGTCAACGGAGAGGCCACGGTTTAGAAGGTTAAGTCCTGTTGCTGGACACCTGGTATTTCAGAGTATCTTCCCCTTGAGTTCCTCTCATGTGGAAGCCATACTGGTCCATAGCACTGTCTGAAGGCAGCTGAAGGCAGGATCCTGTCAGGGGTGACTCCTCTAGGCTGCACTCCCCCCTGGGTTTGACCAAAGCTCCTGGAGACTGCATCACCTATGCGGGACAACACTCCCAGCTCATCACAGCCTGCCCGAGGCTTGATGGTAGGGCAGTCGTGGAAGGAGTATGGTAACGTGATGGGGGTCAAACTCTGCTCAGGGCTTGGCGATCTCAGGCAGGGTCTAAGTCTCCTGATGTGTGTCTTTGCCTGGCCTCATACTGCCCACTCTCCCGTTTTGACCGCATCCCTGGTACCATCCTTACCTGGGCCTTTCCACAAACACGTCTTCGGGAAGCATGTATGGCGCTTCTTTCTTCCTGGTCTCTATGACCTGGAGTTTGGAAGGAAACAAATGATGAGATCTGGGTCCAGCAGGAGCGTGGAAGAGCTGCAGCCTCACTTTCAGGGTCCTCCTCCACCCGGCATCCTTGGAGATGCAACACACAGAGCATCTCCAGGGAGACTCCAGATTCCCCAGTCACCGTCAGAGCTGCCTGGAGAGATGAGCTGCTGCTCAAGCTGTCGCCATTGATGACGCACATTGTGTCAAGTGTCCTCAGAGTGCAGGGTACTTCATTCCTAAGAGACTGGGCTTTCTTAGTCCTGTGCTTTCGACTCACGCCAGGGAAAAGGGAATGCAGGTGGCACCACATGCCGAGTATGGCTGAGGTAAAAATCTGGCTGATGGACACTGACGGCTTGAGATCTCCTCCATAGCCTTCATCAGTGTTTTTGGAAGAGCTGTGAAAGTCTCTGAAATGGTGAGAAGCTGGAGATGGACAGTATGCAGGTGTGTGACTGTGATGTGGCAACAGACAGCCCCGCTCTTTCCAGTGAAGGGGACTTCTTGTACTTCCTTATCGGCCTGGAGTCCGTGAAAGTCCAACACTCTTGGGAAGTCTTTGGCACAGTAGCACAGCACCTGCCCTCATGTCCCCAAGCCAGCTTAGGCCAGCAGAGACCTGGAATTTTAAAGTTAATCCTAGACATCATATGAGCCCACCTAAAATACTTAAAAATTTTAAGTCAGAAAAAAAATCCTTATGTATATGAATGTTTTGCCTGTATGCAAGTATATGTACTAGACTCATATGTCTGGTATCTGTGCAGGCCAAAAGAGGATGTGAGATCCCCTGGAAATGGAGCTACAGACAGTTGTAAGCTACCAGGTGAGTACTGGGAATGGAACCCAGGTCCTCTGCAAGAGTGGTCAGTGTTCTTAACTGCTGAGTCATCATCTCTCCAGCCCCTTCAGGAGGTTTTAAAAGACCTTTATGCAACCGCTGAGATTGATGGACTAGATTGGCTACTAGGGAACAGCAAGGCAGGGAGAGATTCAAAATTAATTAGCTAAGCGACGACGTGGCAGCCTTGCGGGGAGACGCCCACTGTTCCTTCTCTCTCTCACGATTCACACTGACAGGTAGGTCAAAGTCATGCAGAGGGAGCTGGAATTTGCTTTAGAATATTTCAGCAAAGGAAAAGAAGATGATCTTGATAAGCAAACGCGAGAAATCCTGACAAGTATTTAATTTGCATAACTGTGGCTCACAGTTCTACTTTTGCTGTCGTGGTACTGGAGGGTGTTCATGACAAAAACCTTGTCTTTTTTGTTTTGAGACAGGCTTCTTTGCTGTTTAAATTATTTGGCGTGTGTGCCATGCCTGTGTGTATCCATGTGTCCGTGTGTCTGTGTGTCTGTGCCCGTGTCCATGTCCATGTGTGTGTGTGTGTGTGTGTGTGTGTGTGTAGGGGCATGCACACACCACAGTTATGTGTGGAGGTTCTGGGAGTTGGTTCTTGCCTTCACCTTGTCGGGGCCGGGTCTCTCTGGCTTTTGTCACTGCACTGTATATTCCAGGCTAGCTGGCCCACGAGCTCATGTCTCATTTTTGTCTCCGACTCCCATTTTGCCATAGGAGTGAGTGTTGGGATTTAGGTGTGTCCCACTGCATTTGGATTTCTTATATGAGTTCCAGGGTCACACTCAAGTCCATCAGGCTTGCTTGCCAAGGGCTTTTACCCTAAGACAGTTCCAGTGTTGTCCAGACTGGCCTGGACTGGATATCCTCTATCAACAGCTTCCTGAATGGCTGGAATTACAAGTCTATATCATCATGTTCAACTTCCCAAAACCTTTTTTGGTGGGGAGGAGGTCTCATGTAGCCCAGGTTTGGCTTTAGCTTGTTATGCCAAGGTCTCCTTACCTCTGAGACTTCTTGATTATAGATAGGCTTATGTCACCATACCCAGATTCATGTGGTCTAGGAATTGAACCTAGGGATTTACGTATACTATGCAAGGACTCTTTGATCTGAGTCATATCCCCAGCCCTTCCCTAAACTCCTCTCAAGTTGCTTCCATCCACGTGGTTGGAGGAGTGTGTGCCATGCGCTTCCTTAGGACAGTGGGTAGGGGGCAGGTATAAGAGACCCCTTTACTCAGGAGGCTGAGGACTGAGGATCTTTGGGCCTACGTCTAATGCTCAAGGGCTCACTGAGTTCTCAGGATCGCGAGGACACCAACCTCGTGGATGTGCTGGCAGAAGGCAGGCACCGTTGTGAGCTGGCTGATGAGGTTCAGGTAGGCTGCTCCCAGAGCGTAGAGCGCACAGCGGTTATAGGTAGGCAGATTCTCTTCATTGACTTGGGCCACGTCCTGCGGTAACACAGACAGGCTTCCGGAGTTTTTTCCCCTGACAAACCACACCAGTCTACATACACCCTCCCACCTGGCCTCCCCTCAGTCTTCCTAGAGATGGCTCATCTTTCTAGACTAAATCTTTGACCTAGAACCTTCTGGAGGCAGGAGTCATCCTTATAAAGCTAGAGAGCATGGTCCTGGGAATAACCCATGAGCTGGAGGCTCGTGAATCCCTACTAAGCATAGAGGCAATAACCTCTGGTCGCCACTCTGTGGTTTCGGCTGTGGTGACCGCCACTGCCCAAACCCTCCTCATTAGCACTAACCCCACCATTAGCTGCCATCTCCTTCAGCAAAGCTGAAGCTTAGATGACTAGATTGTCTTGTTAAACTGGGTCCATATGCTAAAAGTTGTGGGAGTCACCAGGAGATTGGGACTCAAAGGAGTCCCAAATTCTACCTCTTAGGTAAACAAAGAAAATTATAACATCTAGGTTGGCCTGCAGGATCTAGCATGGTCACAAAGATGACCTAAGACACATGTTACTAAGTTCAAGAATATGATGCCAACTTGGCTTCAGGACCCTGGAGATTGAAGCCTTTGAGGTCTGAAGGACCCACCTCGACTTCTGTGGCAATGTACTAGTATCTAGGCAGACCTTGAAGGTCTCAGGTCCTACCTAGTACCACACTGGCTGCCTATGAATCCCAGCAGAGGCTTGTTAAAGACACAGGTCCCAGCTTGGGACACAGGCTTTGTCCAGTATGGGTAATGTATATATATATATTTTTTAACAAGCACCAGTGGCAATTCTGAACAAGTAAGTCTGAGAATGAGAGAATTTTTAGATGAACACATTTGTTTCAGGATCACTTGGGGGCTTCTGGATGCCCCCTTGGGAATTTTTGGGGTAGCACTCAAACCCCATGAGAGATTTCAAATGCTAAGAGATCAGGGGTGATTCTGGGTGACCTTGTGTCCCCTTTACCTTAATGAAGAACAAGAGCCATGAATTTATTTGTTTCTGGGGCTTCTCAGACAAGAACATGGTTTGGGGGTCTTCATGGAGGAATGACCAACCAGAGTACATTGTCCCCAGACAAAGAACTGCCAGGCAAGTGCAGCAGAGTATCTCTATCTGTACCTGCTAGACAGGCCCCTCCCTGTTACATCCGGGACTCCCCACATCCGGCACTCCCCACATCCCGCACTCCCTACATCCGGCACTCCCCACATCCCGCACTCCCTACATCCGGCACTCCCCACATCCCGCACTCCCTACATCCGGCACTCCCCACATCCGGCACTCCCCACATCCCGCACTCCCCACACCAGGCCCCTCCCTGTGATGCTCTTCCGGCACTCCCCACATCTGGCACTCCCCCACACCCGGCACTTCCCACATCCAGTACTCCCCACATCCTGCACTCCCCACACCAGGCCCCTCCCTGTGATGCTCTTCCGGCACTCCCCACATCCAACACTCCCCACATCCGGCACTCCCCACATCCGGCCCCACCTGAACAGCCAGCACCAGTCGGATGAGGTCCACCATCACCTCCTCGTTGGCCAGCTCAATGCTGATGAGTGCCAGCAGGCCATAGAGCGCCTCGTAGTGCTTCTGGATGTTCGTCTCCTCCTTACAGCTCAGGTAGATGTGCCTGTACAGCTGCTGGGAGTGCTGGGGACAGGAGCAGGGGCAGAGGACAGCCGCGGTCAGTGGGGTGGACCCAGGGTGGGGGGCAAAGAGAACTGGGGAGGAAGGCCATCTGAAGGGAGGTGATAGCTGTGTGTACCCCATCTCCATCCTCAGCAACTGGTTAATCTGGTCAATTGAAGAGGGGAGGAGGCAGGCTCTGGGACCAGTGGTCCAACAGTGGCTTAGACGCTGGAATACTGGGACTAATAAACCTGACCTCTGCTGGGGCTCACTGTGTCTTCTGGCCATATTCACCTTCTTCATGAAGACAGTGTCCTGCCGGGAGCATTTGTCCACTTTCAACTTCAGGACCGAGATGTCACCGAGGGTGCTGTGAAGGCACAGAGGAGCCTCTTAACCCCTGTGTAAGGTCAACCTGAGTTCACATGGTGTCACCAAGCTTTATCCCCAGTGGTGTAGGTTGGCCTTGGCTCTTAACCCAATCTCCATTTCCTCCAAAGCTCTCACATTCCTGTTTCTTTCTCTTGGGTGCACACTCTCTCCAGCCCCCAGCCCGGGCACAAGCACGCTCTGGCTCACGCTCTCCTTGACCAAAGCCAGGGATGAACTCTAGTGGGTCTCACTGCATCCAAATTGTCCTCCCACCTGGGTGTGAGGTTACTGGCCAAGAAGACAGGTCTCGTTGGGGGGCTCCCCCATCACACATCTACCAGAGGAGAGATGTTGAGCTCACCTGATGGTAGAGAATTTGTGGCGGTTGCCATGGCGATCAATGAAGCTGATGAGAATCTCTAGGACGAAGAGGCGGATTTCTGCATCTTCCATGAGGGCGGTGGAGAGAAGACGGTCAAGGAAGTTGCTGGGCAGGGCTGACATCATGTTGTTGCACTGGAATCCTGTGGATACCTGGGAGGAAGCCCGGGACAGGCGTACTTAGGAACACTGTCACTCTCGGTGTAGAGATGAGATGCAGAAGCAGCCAGAATTCTGGTGTAAAGTGTCCCATCCTCTGCACGGAGTCCCCTGAATATCCGCCTGGAAAATCTACTCAGTTGACATGTATGGGGACAGTACGCAGGGGCAGTTAAGTGTTGAAAGTGAGTAAAGGATGAACACTAGAGAAAGGCAAGAGTCAGGGACTCCCTGAAAGTCCTAGCTGGCCAGGGAACAACTGGTGAACGGCCAGCTGTTTTGTTACAACACTTTAAGACTGGGAGTCACAAGAACTTAGAGGGCAGAGGAACGCACAGCTGGGTGGCAGGGTCCGTTCGCGCACCTGACAGTCAGCACAGCGCTGTGATAATGGCGCCTTGCGACTCAAATCAGTCGGCACAGGTAGGTACATCTCATGCACGATGCCAGATGCTCAACAGTAGCAAAGGGCACTTTCTGTTAAGTCCACACTGCAGAATGGTACCTCTGAGGATTCGGAAGGTTTCCATGGAGCCAGCCCAGCCCCAGAGCATCAAATGTTCTCTGAATGGGGCACATGAGCGTTCCCCAGACCGTCACATAAGACACTGGGTACAAATTAACAAGGGTCAACTCGGCAAAACTGCGGGATTACAAAGACCAAGGAGAGAACAGACGACTAGATATGGGAGGTATAAGAGCAAAAGGGCTCTGGGAGAGGACCCTGAGTGGGGCTGGAAGTATACTCAGTGGAGGGGCGTTTGCCTAACGTGTGTGAGGTCCGGGTTCAATCCCCAGTGCTACCAAAGCAAAGCAGCCAAACAAATGCAGTAGAGGATGAGGGTAGGAGAAGAGGGAAGAGAAGGTGTGCATGGGGTGAGGGGTCTGTACAGACTGGCGTGCCGGGAACGGAGACGGGAGCTGGTTGGTGCAATGAACAGTCTAGAGCAGTGATTCTCAGTCTTCCTAACGCTGCGACCCTTTAATATAGTTCTTCATGTTGTGCTGACCCCCAACCATAAAATTATTTTCATTGCTACTTCATAGCTGTAATCTTGCTTTTTTTTTTTTTTTTTTTTTTGGTTTTTTGAGACAAGGTTTCTCTGTATAGTTTTGGTGCCTGTCCTGGATCTCGCTCTATAGACCAGGCTGGCCTCGAACTCACAGAGATCTGCCTGGTTTTGCCTCCCAAGTGCTGGGATTAAAGGCGTGTGCCACCACCGCCTGGCTAATCTTGCTAATGTTATGAACCGTAATGTAAATATCTGTTTTCCAATGGTCTTAGGCAACCTCGGTGAAAGGGTCGTTTAAGCCCCAAATGGGTCATGTCCTACAAGTTAAGAACTACTGGTCTAGAGAGAGGAAGGACCCTGGGAACTTTGCTCGGAAAAGTCTGAAAGTTAGATGTTCATATTAGAAATTGAGATCTCCTCTGAAATAGGGAGAGAACTGGAAATGGTGTTTCCAGAAAATTCACCTGGTGTTCATGATGGCTGAAGGTGGACATAGAAACATTGAGGAGAATAACCTGGTCGTGAGATGTCCAAAGTTTAGGCTAGGGCAGGCAGCTTGTTACAAAAACAAATTTCAAAGCTGGGTATGGCAGTGCACGCATTTCTGTAATCCCAGCACTTCGTGGGTCGAGGCAGGAGGATTTTGAGTGTGATGCCAGCATAGGATAAAGTTCAAGGCCAGCCAGGGCCACAGAGGGAGGCCCTAAATATCTCTCTCTCTCTCTCTCTGTCTCTCTCTCTGTCTCTGTCTCTGTCTCTCTCTCTCTCTCTCTCTCTCTCTCTCTCTCTCTCTCACACACACACACACACACACACACACACACACACACAAATGTAGGTTTTCAGAATCTCATGGTGGCTGACCTCTCACACTCCCTAGGGACCCTACATATTTAACCCGCTGGCTGAGGGAACGGTGTTTGTGAACAACAGAACTAGACTCCAGCAATGAAGGCTGAGATGCAAAGAGGCGCGTAGAAAACACAGAGGAAGAAGGTGGTGTCTGGAAGGTGACAGAGACATGAATGTCAATGGTGGAGTGGGGGGACCAGAGGGGCAGGACCTAGGGAAGGGCACCAGGTGGGCAGTGGGGGAGGAGTCATCTCAAGACCCACGGTTATAGTGACAAGGCTACCAATGGGCACACAGAATCACCATTAAAAAAAAAAAAGCATTAAGCCAGGCAAGGTGGCGCACGCCTTTAACCCCAGCACTCAGGAGGCAGAGGCAGGCAGATCTCTGTGAGTTTGAGGCCAGCCTGGTCTACAGAGTGAGTTCCAGGACAGCCAGGGCTGTGACACAGAGAAACCCTGACTCAAAAGCAAAACCAAACAAAAAGCATTCCGTTTCCACCCGGCTCCAAACAGCTCAGTGGAGGTCAGGCTGGGTTTCAGCCCCTCCCTTACCCTCTTTAATAGCGGGGCATCTGTGCAGTATGTAACACCCTTACTGCCTTGGTTCCCTGAAAGGAGCTGTGTCCCACAGAGGTGGAGCTGGGATGGGTGTAGGGATGGGAGTAGGAGGCGCTCACCTGAAGGAGAGATTTCAGCAGCATGATCTGGGTCAGCCGGTTCCTATTCTCCCTGCAGGCCAGAGATGAACACTATCAGCAGGATGGCAATAGGGTTCCCCCACCACCACCACCACCACACACACACCACCTTCCTCATCAGTTCTGCCACCGATGAGTTTTCTCACCAGGAAGCTTATCTTGTTGGGTTACCCAGGAAGCCAAACCAGGGAACCCAGGATTCCCCTGAAGTGTTGAGGGAGCCTGAGAAATTGCCGTGGGACCTACAGCCCCCACTGCTGAGGGGTTTTTGAGTCAAGAGAAGACCCACAGAAGTAAGGTGGGTAACCAGGAACCAGAGAGTCTAGGCTGGGAGGAAGGCAGCGGACTAACCCTGTCCTTCCGGTCTCCACCGGGTGGTGCAGGGATGGTATCGGGACTTTGCTCATGATAAAGAGGATCACCTCCGAGCGCTGATAGGTGGGCAGCGTGCTGGCAAAAGAGCCTGTGAGGGAGAGAACAGAGCATTAGACGTCCCCCAGGCTCAGTATATTAGTTGAATGGGTAGAGAGTGAAGCTCACTGATGCCCAGGAGCAGTGCAGGCCCAGAGAGATCGGCCCAGGCAGACTGCTGTGAAATCGCCTCCTGGGGAAGGGAGTGTGGAGGATCCCAGAGGACTCTTCTAGATCCCACTTCTTCCCTTGTTACTGAGGCCGTGGTCACAGTCAGGGCTCCTTCACTGGAGGACAGAGCCTGGGGAGCAGGGCAGCTCTCTGGTTTCATTGCTCCTGCCCTGAATCTCCAGCAATGAGTCATGGCATAGATAGAGAGACCTCTGAGAGGGAGGAGTCCACGGTAATTGTGGTTTTATATTTCTCCACATCCAGGGCACAGATAGTCTCCATAGCTTTCTTCCTTTCCTCTTTGCTTCCTTAATCCCCACCTCCCCTCCAATGGCCCACCGTGGAAGCACTAGGCATGCCTCATGAGGACGGGGTCAACAGGAATTTGACCTTTGCAGGAAGGTCTGGTGGAGAAATCCAGGGCCAGCCAGGCATGTGTATCATACATAGGCTGCCTCCATTTCCCCCAATATCCCTAAATAACATAATAGCGCTAGACAGTCATACAGCAGACGCTACAGTAGAGGTGTGGTCCTCTTCCTCTTACAAGGAGCATCTCTAGTCTAGGTTCCACTCCACTCTCCCAAGACCCCTTCCTTTCCTAAGTTCCTTTCCGAGGCCCCAGACTAACTCCCCCCCCTAGAATTCTTCCCCCTCTCCAAGCTTGGCCAGGGTCCCTCCTTTCAGCACCGCCATATCTTGTACCACCGGCCCTGCTCGACTCAGGCCGGAGCCCTAGTGCCCTGGCAACCTCTTCCCAGACTCTCATTCCGCGCCAAGTCTCACCGGGCCCGGCCCCCTCTTAAGTCCCTCCCCCAGAGCCCCGCCCTTCTCCCAGCCTCACCGGGTCCCTCCCCCAGAGTCCGGCCCCTTTCCTCCCCCCACCATCTCCTCTGCCCGGGGCTGCCTTGGTTCCTAAGCTCCGCTCCCTTAGCTCCGCCTCCAGATCGTTGCCCGTCCCTCCTCTGAGCCCGCCCCCGAGCCTCCGTGGCCCCTCCCAGCCCCGCCCCACCCCCTTCCCTACCGATGGTCTTGATGACCGCCTCCTGGAACATGCGCTCCTCGTGCTCCTTGATGATCTTGGTGCCCAGGCTCACGGCGCCGTCGTAGCTCCCGGTTAGCGCGTAGTCGATGCTGAGCCGCAGCTGCCGCAGCAACGTGTTGAACATCTCCAGCACCGTGGGCCCTGGGCGCCGGGAGGGAGGGGACCCGCGAGTCGGGACGGGCATCCCTCCTGCTCTCCCTTAAACCCAAGCCCGCTCCGCCAGTCGGTCCTAAACCCAACGCCTGCTCCTCCCCCCGTGCCCCTCGCCTTCTGCTCCGGACCCCCTTACCGACGGAGCCGGTGGCGGCGATAACCGCAGCTTCCGATAGGACCTCCACGATGCCGGCGCGCACGGTCGCCGCGCTGCGGCTGTTGGCGTCCAGGTGGCTCAGGAGCTGCTGGATAACCAGGTGGGAGTGCTGCGGCTGCGGGGGAAGGAAGACGTGATGGTCCCCAAATATCCACTCCAAAGGCAGCCTTCTGCGGGGACCCAGAGGCCGAGGGTGAACCAAAATGACACCCCACGGCCCGTGGACACTGAGGTGGCACCCAGACCGCGCACTCTTTTCTGTCTTGCGGCACTCCCCAACCCCCATCCCGGTCCACAAACACCGAGCCAAATCCCGGGAAATCTGTGTTTGCACATCCCCCCCCCCCATTCCTTTTACTTCAAAAGGGGCCAGAAATACATTTCAAAATACTGTCTTTCATTTCTCCTCGTCCCTAGGTCTCACTGGCAAGGACCCTGAGAAGCCCCATGGCTCAGCTCCCTGCTGCACAAAGTGTGGCTGGGGGCCCAGTGCCAATTCACGATCTGACTAATAGATAACACCGCTTGCTGCTGAGATGAGGGCGGGCCAGAAGGAAAGGAAGCCGGTAGTAGCCGGGAATGCTCAGCAAACCGGGGCGTGCAGGCTGCTTGTCTTTTTTGCGCAATTTAGTTTGTCTCTAGGAATTCGTTTTCGTTTTATTTCATAAAAATGCAGGCCTCGGATGTACTAAACGTTAAACTGGCCTCCCTTCACAGCCGGGTGATAACAGCAAGGTCTGCGGCAGCTAGGGTCTCTGGGGGACGTCAGAGGACCCGTGGTTTTCTACTTAGCGCACTGTCCCGCACCCGGAAGTGCCCTGGGGGCGGGGTACGGGAGGGGGATTGATGAGATGGAGATGGGGATACGGAGGTGTGGGTGGATGGATGGGTGGGTGGGGACAAGCTGCATCAGGGAAGCTACCATACCTGAATTGAGTACATGACGATTTTGAAGCAACGGGTGGCGAACACCTTGGGTTCCCAAAGAGAATGGTTGTCCAGGTGGCTATGAGGGGGAAAACACGAGGGTGAAGGCCAGTGACACCTCCTGAGAGCCCCCTGGCAGTTCTCAACCACGGAAGGGCTTACAGTATAGGGTCCATAGCTTGACGCAAGGAAGGAATGAAGAAGCTGGCCCCTTCGTTCAGTTTGGGGTACCCTCCTGTTAATCACCACAAACTGCGGGTGGCCACTTGTGGTAGCCTCGTTATGTGATACAGGGTATGCAGACACCAAATGAAGGGTTGACCTCACCACAGCATCACAGCTGTGCCATCTCCTTTTCCTCTCACATTGGCAGAGGGGACCAGGGGCAGTTGGCAGGGAGATCCGGGGGACCTGGCTGGACCAGTCATCTGGCAGCGGAACATTTCCAGGGTGGGGCGGGACACTCAACTCACATGAGAACAGGCTTGATGGCGTTTTTGATATTGCCGAAGGCTGCCCGGCCCAGTAGCTCCCGCAGGCACCTCTCAGCCAGCTCGGCTGGGTTCTCCTTTTCCTTCTCTGGTGCTTGGAGGGGCGAGGGAGACCGGCTGTGGAGAAGGACAAGCAGGAATTTGAGATAAGCTACACCAGGTCATAGCAGAGTCATGGCTGTCAGCAATTCGACAGGGTAAGGGAGCTGGGGGTAGAAGATTGGGGGAGACAATAGAATTATTTTCATGTCGGAGGCCTGCAGACCTCGAGGGTCTAAGGGTTGGGGGAGGGGGACCGAAAAGAGGAAAGACAGACAGGATGAAAGAGGGAGACGAAAGGAAAGGAACAGTGATTGGCTAGGGCGTGACCTAATGAAACGCAAATCAGAGTGTACCTTCTCTGAACAGAACTCCCCTTCTAAGAGACCACAGCCCCAGATTGGTGAGCTGTTATATCAGAAACAGCCACCAGGGGGCACACTTCCCTCTGCTGGTTTAACAGCCCAGACCCAAAGAAGTGCATTTTTACTAAGCATCTCAGCACAAAGCCAAGGTGGGGGACAGACAGCAAAGGGAACCTTTCCGTCCATTCCACTCTACAGGGGAAAGTAACGGTCAGGGAGCGGAATGAGTCTGATGCTTTTGGGGGGGCTCTGAGATTAGAATCCAGTATCTGCAATTTGAGTGGCCATGGCTGGTCAAGCAGTCATGTTTTAAGGTCTAAAGTAGCATCATGAAGGGAGACAGGAAGGTCCCAGGGAGTCTTTAGCATTTGGAACCATGGGAGGCATTTAAACCTCCTTAGCTTGCTGCTTCCGGAGGGGCACAAGGGTGACCTGTCGCTTGTGTCCTGACCAGCTTGCGCGTATACTCAGGGGGCACAGACTCACTGCTGCTCCTGCTTCCTTGTTTGAGAACTGAAGGGGCTCAGAGGCTGGCAGAAGCCATTTCCAAAAGCGTCCAAGGAGCCAGCCTCGTACTCATCGCAGAACAAGCCACAAAGCCAGGATTCCCGGCCTCGTAGCTGGGTTTTCCCCTTCCCGAAGCCCAAGCTTGGGCGTGTTCCCGCAGCCTGGATGAGCGTGGTGCTCAGAGAGGGGAGCCCCACCCCCCCACTCACCTCTCTGCCTCTTCCACGTGCTGCAGATTGAAGAGCAGCGACGGGACGATCTTGTCCATGTGCTGTGGGTCCCAGATGTTGGCCTGCAGCTCATCATTCACCGTCTTCCTCACGACCCCTTGCAGGCCTTTGATGCCCGACATTCGGATTCTGTAAGGAAAGAGACCAAGGCGTCTCCACACCCTGAGTATCTCTACAGCCAGGAGGGGAGCACAGTTCAAGATCTAGGGACGTAACCGCTCACAGAGGCTCCTCCGTCTGCTCCTCCTCATGGGCTTTGACCTGACTGGGATACATTAATGAGCAACACGACCCCTTGTCCTCCTGTAGCTTAGGAGCTCGTGGGGAGCGACAGGTAAGGGGTCAGAGACGTAAGAGGGGAGCGATGAAACTTGTTAAAGGGGAGGCAAACCACGTTGGGGGGGGGCGGGCAGAGCAGGATACAAAAGGAATGGGGTGAGTGTGGGGACAGCCAGGCAGATGTCACTGATGTGAGTAAAGCCATGGCAGAGGGGAAGCAGCGAGCTATGAGACCCACGGAAGAAGGCTTCCGACATGGCAGACTGTGCAAATGTCCTGGGGCAAGAGTGTCCTGTGTGTGTGTCCTAGGCGACATGGCAGAAGGAGAAGGAGTGGGTGGGAGGACCCGGAAGATGGAGTGAGGAAGAGCCAGCGTGAGGACTTGGACTGTACGGATGGGGGTAGACACTGGCAAGTAGGTTGTTTCTGCAAATGCACATTTTGTTAAAAATATTTTTTTATTTTATTTTTATGTACATTTGTATTTTTGCCATGGGTGTCGGGGTCCCCTGAAACTGGAGTTTCAGACAGGTGTGACCCGCCATGTGGGTGCTGGGAATGGAACTCAGGACCTCTGGAAGAAGAGTCAGCAGCGCTCTTAACCCCTGAGCCATCTCTCCAGCCCGCAAAATGCACATTTTTACCAGAGTGCGTGGAAGGTTTGTGTGTATGCATACAGGTGTGTTTTGTTCCTGGCCCTCAAGTTCAGCTCAGGGGACCACCATTATCTTAATATTTTGCCCTATTTTCTGGCCCCAGAGAGTTTTCCTTCAGAACCACCGGCCGGGAGCCCCATTCTGCTTCACACCCACCCATCCCTGGCAACGGCAGGCCAGAAGGAGAGTCAAGGAAGACAGACTGGTCAGCCCGCGCTGAAGCCCTTCAAGGCCCCTGGATGATTCCGCTGGGAGCCCCGTAGCCCCCCCCCCCCGCCCCCGCCCCCGCCCCCGCCCCCGCCCCCCGCTACTCACTTAGTCTTGATTTCCAAGTCATCATGACTTGAGTGGCACATCTCACTGAATCGGGACACAAAGAAGTCATAGCTCCGGTGATACGACGGGGTGTCCTCTTCAATGTTGGCGAACTTCACAAACTAACAGGGCAGAGGAAGAGAATTTGCATGCGAGGCCGGCGCTCCGCCCCTGGATTCTGTCTGAGTGTCCCCAAGCACCCTGCTGCCAAAAAAAAAAAAAGCACCACAGACCCAGGCACCTGGGCACCAGCTCCTGCCCATAACGGCGCACTTGGGAGATCTGAGTTCGAATGCTGCTCGGCTTTCGTATACACAAAAGGCTGGGAACCAGGACCTTTCCTGTTGAGGCAGGGCAGAGGAGGGAGGAGAAAGCAAATGATGGCTCCCCCTGCGCACTGCGGCACACACCCCTGGGGGATGAACGCACAGTGAATGAGGCACAATTCGGAGACTGAAGGAGAGCTGGGTCCACGCGTGGGGCACCTCCTTGACTGAATTCTGAGACAGGAGAGCAAATCCGAACATGTGACTTCCAAACTGTTGAGATTTTTTTGAGTGTTTAAGGTTTGCCATTTTGGTAGCCTCCCTCCCATCCCCCGTCCTCCCCGTCTCTCTGTGGGACAAGATCTCATGTAGCAGATGTTGGCTTTGAACTTGAGCCCCCTACCTTTACCTCCCAATGGTTGGGATTACAGCTGCTTGCCCCCATGCCTAGCTTTGGCTCTCATCTCCAGCAGCATTCTCAGCTGCTGGACTGTACTGCACTGTGCCTTTCCAACTCTAAACAGGAGATTCATTTCAATCACATCCCCCAGAGAGGCAAGCATTGCGTACAGAATAAACCGCTTGAAACTAATATAATTCGTTTTGCTTGATGTTACGTTAGTAGCCCCAAACAGCTCTAAAAGAAGATTAGATTAATGGGTTAGAGACAGCTTGATTGACAGAGTACTTATTTAGCATGCATAAGCCCCGAGCTCCACCCCCAGAATGGGATAAACTGAGTGGGGCAGCGCAGGTCTGTACTCCTGGCACTCAGGAGGTGGAGGCAGGAAGGTCAGAAGTTCACAGACATCCTCGGCTACATAGCAGTTTGAGGCTAGCTTGGGCTACATAAGACCCTGTCTCAAAAAGAGAGCTTAGATTGACAATACATTATATAATTTCTCAATTATTGGTTTAATACACACACACACATACACACTATCCTTTCTCAAGGTATCTAGTTGGTTTACTTTCATAGTATTTGATATTGATTGTTAATCTGTCTAGTTAACTACTTAAAACTTTACCCTAGATGCAAATGAGCAGCTTCCAGTAGTCTCATTAGTTATTATAGTTTTACATTTTTTATTCTTTGAGAATTTCACATATGCATACATTATTTTTTTTTTTTTTTTTTTTTTTTTTTTTTGGTTTTTCGAGACAGGGTTTCTCTGTGTAGCTTTGCGCCTTTCCTGGATCTCGCCCTGTAGACCAGGCTGGCCTCGAACTCACAAAGATCCGCCTGGCTCTGCCTCCCGAGTGCTGGGATTAAAGGCGTGCGCCACCACCGCCCGGCCTGCATACACTATTTTATCCTATTAACCCTGACTCCTTCCCTCAGTTCTTCCCGGATCCACCCTCCACGCCTCCCCTCCGAACTTCATGCCTGAATTATGCTGCTCATATACTCCTGGGTATGGGGCCATCTACAGGAGGATTGGATGGTCAACCTGCCAGGGCCCACACTCTTAAAAACGAAACCAAAAACTTGACTATCCCTCCCTCAGAAGCAACCACCTAACAATAGTTCATTCCTAGGGTTGGGCTCGTAGGCATCTCCTGCCTCCATGCTGGAGTATGGACTGGCTTGATCATGTACAGGTCTTGAATAGACAGCCACAGTTGCTGTGATTTGATGAACCCCATGGTCCTGTCATGCCCAGAATATGCTATTTTGCTCTGGTTCTCCCTAGCTACGGCTCTTACAATCTTCCTGTCCCCTGTTTTGAGATGCTTCCTGAGCCTTGGGGGAAGAGGGAATGATACAGACAACCCACTTGTGATTGTGTGCACCGAAGATCCTTATTCTCTACCGGGATCCAGTGTGAGTTTCCGCCTTAACCACCATCCACTACACAGAGCTGCTCCTCTGATGAGGACTGACAGCTGCACTAATTAATGGGTGGAGACGTAAACTTAGAGGGAGGTTTGATCCTATGTCCATTTAGCAAAACAGTCAGAGTAGGTCTGCCCCTGGGGACGGTGAGCTCCCTGGCCATAGGTTTTGAGCAGATCTACAGTATCGGACCTTGGTTTCTTCCCAATCAGAAGGCAGTGGGTTACTCCCACAGCGTATGTACCACTGTTGCACTTACGGGCATATCTTGTAGCTCAGTCCCAGAGAATGAGCTGCTTACCACATCATCCCCACTGGGATGAACAAAACCTGAAACCACACACAAAACAACCCCTCTCCTTTAAACACGTCATGACATTTTGTCACAATGACACAGAAGTGACTAACACAAACCGTAAATATGTAGCTGTTTTTCTGCTGACTGATAGTAGTTCAGCATCCAAAGTGGGTGAGGAGATCTATCTTCCTGAGCCACAGCTGAAATACATGCACATGTACATCTGAGAGAGAATGTCCTAGTATTAGGAACAAATAAAACTGGCATTGCTTGCATTATGGATGTGGTGATGTGGTGAGATAGAGTAGGATTGCATGTCATTCCAAGACAACTGATTCCACCCCAGTTCAGGAGTTCTGGAAACAAGGGTGAAGCAGGCCCTTGCTCTGAGTCCTTCCTACCCCCCCCCCCCCCCCCCCCCCCGCCTCCCCAGTTGTGCCTGTGGCCTTGGCTGAAGCATGGTTCCAGGGAAGTTCAATTTGGAGAAGGCTGCAAAGGATGCTCAGGTTCTTCAGCACTGACAGGATGTTCCCAAGTCACCTCCTCCACAACCCAAGGCCGCTGCCACCTCCTCCTCCTCTTCTCTGAGACAGGGTCTCTCATATGTAGCCCCGGCTGACCTGGAACGTATTATGTAGATCAAGCTGGCCTGCCTCTGTCTTTCAATGCTGGGATTAAGGAATGTACCACCATGCCCAGCCTCTGAGCCTTTTTTTTTTTTTCCTTTAAATGCTGGCTTGCCCTAAAGTCCAGAAGAGTAGACAGTGCTCTGCCTAGCATTGGTCCCATCTCATTCTTGCTTTTTTTCATGGAGCACAGGACAGGCTGTGTAACTTCTGAGTCTTTACTCCCTCGAGGCAGGCATAAGGAATATCTTAGCTACTTGGGACTCCCCTTGGCTTGGGCTATACACACACTCTCTTCAAGCTTCAGACAGTGGAAATAAATGACTCCCTCTAACATCCCCATGATAATGCCCCATTTTTATGGAGCTCGGGCCAATGGTCCCATTTGACCTAGACTGGTTTTGAGGACTGCAATAAAGCGGCCAAGCCCTCAAAGTCAACCTCTAGGGTGAATCCCCTTTTTACCATCTTGTGAATTATTGAGCATGCATAGGATTAAACTCAGATGTATTATGGTAAGGAACATGTACAAATGAGCAATGGCCTACCCAATCTAATCCTGTCAACCAAAATAGAGAAACACCCATACTGCACCTCCAAACTCCTCCACTTAAACTTAGTAAATGGACGCCCTAACATCCCTGGGCCCCAGCTCTCTTGCAGTGGATTCTAACCTATTCTACTGCTCTCCTTTAAATAGAATTTCTGGGCTACTCTGCAGTCTGTGTGGGCTTGTACTTTACTTCGTTCTCAAATAAGACACCAAGAACCTGGAAATACCCAGCCCAGACCCTAACGACTGGCAACACCCTTCTCTGTGAAGTGGATACAAGGCCCTACTTCATAAGGCAGTCACGAAGATGACTGAAGATACACTCAGAACAACCAGACCCGACCAGGAAATGACTCCACGGCCGTCATGGTGGTGTTTATACCCAGCTCCGTCAACTGTGGTGTAGGTTTGGATGCACCGTCACCTTTGCTATCTCCAAACCCTCGAGCCCAGAGCCTAGATAGGCAGCATGGACTGGAGTAGGCAACACCGAGATTCTGAGCTAGGAGCTGGGTGCAGTCACCCCGACCTGTCATCCCAACACTTGAGAAGTGAAAGAATGAAGGAACAGGACAAGTCCAAGGACAGTCAGTCCCCACCACAAAGTGAGTTGAGGCCATCCTTGGCTACATGGGAATCTCTGTCTCAAACACACACACAAACCCCAGAACACAACAAAAATTGATACCCAGAAGGCACAGAGAAATGGAAAGGAGAGGCAGCTGCTTCTCCAGTGACGTGGTACCCGAGGGTGAGTGTGAGCATGGAGCAAAGGGTGGGAACAAGGGGTTCCATGGACACAGCCAAGCTGCCTGGGTAGAGGTCACCTGATGCAGCAGGGCGGGGCAGAACCCAAGGGGATTCCAGGAGCCACAGCTACACACACCCCCCCCCCCCCCCCCCCCCCCCCCCCCCCCAGGAACTGGCTAAACCCTTGTTTTCCTCTCCTTACATGGATCACTTCCTGGGAAAGTGAATGAAGTCGAGAAGGGTGGGATAAGACTGTTTGAATGCAATGCATGTTATCACTTACTCTCAGGAACTTCAGCTTCCCCCGCCTCCATGAGATTCAGCTCTGCGGTCACAGGGAGTGACATTCACAGGGATGATATGGTGCATAGACGCATTCCACGCACTACTAGGAAAACACTCCACACGCCACTCAGAAAACAGTACTCCACCCAGGCCGCTGTGCATTGCCCTACCCCACTTGATCAGTAAACCAAACTTCAGGTAGACGCATCCTAACTGATGTTTGTTTGCTTTGGCTTAACTTACACCTTGCTCGGCTGCAAGCTTTCAAGTATTCAAAAGACACCAAGTAAGAGTCCCTGAGGCAGCCGGGTAGTGGTGGCGCAGGCGCACACCTTTGATCCCAGCACTCAGGAGATAGAGGCAGGTGGATCTCTGTGAGTTCGAAGCCAGCCTGGTCTACAGAGTGAGATCCAGGATAGCCAGATCTACACAACTCTACACAACACATTGAAACCCTGTCTCGGTGGGGAAAAAAGTCCTTGAGGAAGCTGTTCAGACACAGGAGTT